CCCCAAATTAACCCAAAAAAAAAAAAGGAAACCGTTTGATCGGGCAACATGACATTTGCAAGACAAGTCGAAAAAAAAAAAAAAAAAAAGTCTGAAAACCGAAAAAATACATAGGACGTCATCCATCTCTGTCCCATGTTTTATGTGTTACCGTGAACACCCGAACCACAAGTAATATTTGCTCATTTTGAAAATCCACCCCCCTAAGGCCAGTGTGATTCATCAACATGGAATTTGGAAGACATGTCTATCGTGGCTAAAAAAGTTCTGTCAAACAAGACGCAGGAGGTCTGTTTCCGTTTTGGCCATTTCAAGGAAAGATGAACTTTTTTTTTGGGGGGTTTTTAATTCATCCCCTGAAATTTGACTTGGCACCATCCAGTGTCGTCGACGTGTCTATCGCAAACCTCAAGAAATGACTAGCCCCTGAAGCCAGTTTGCCTTTCCAACACGACATTTGGCTTCAGTGTCTGTCATGGGTCGAGTGACTCTCAAAAAGCCCCATCTCAAGTCATTTGGGATCTTTTCAGCCTTTCTTCAACAACAACCTCCTCCTTTGAGATTGGCATTTCTTTGCAAAATTCAGCTCGCCAATTCCGTTTCCAATTCATGCCTTTTTTTTTTTTTTTCGGGGGGGGGGGGGGGGATACTGTATGTACACTCATTCCTGGAAGCGAAATGCTACGCACCAAAAAAATCAGAAGTCAATTCTTTTCGAAATTGCCAACCCCGGAAAAAAAAAAAATCATGAGAGCAGTGATTCCCAACCTTCATTGAGCCAAGGCACATATTTTACCTTTGGAAAATCGCACGGCACACCACCTAAAAGTCGCCGGCACAGAAAGAGGGCCAAAGCCACATTATTTGTGACGACGAAATCATTTTCGCACCAATGAATTGAAACGCGATCATTTCCCGCGGCGCACCGTTTGAGCTCTCACGGCACGCCGGTCGGCAATCGCCCGCTTTAGAGCGCACCGTTGTTGCGGGGTTGTGTCGGCGGGTTCGGTAGTTATCCAGTCACAGTAGACGATATTGCGTGGAAAGGTCTGGCGGCCAATGAGTTCAACGCTTCTTCCCATTGGCCGGGGCGCTCGCGAGGTCACGCCGGG